CTGGGCTGCATAAAAAGAAGTGTGGCCAGCACATTGAGGGAGGTGGTTTTCCCTCTCCACTCTCATGAAACACCGCTTGAAGTACTGCATCCAGGTCTGGGGTCCACAGTACAAGACAGACATTGACCTGTTGGAGCGGGTCCAGAGGAGGGCCACAAAAATTATCAAAGGGCTGGAGCACCTCTCCTATGAAGAAAGGCTGAGAGAGTTGGGGTTGTTCAGCCTGGAGAAGAGAAGGCTTTAATGAGACCTTATTGTGGCCTTTCAATATTTGAAGGGGGCTATAAGAGAAACAGGCAGACTTTTTAAAAAGGCCTGTACTGACAGGACAAGGGGGCAATGGTTTTAAAGTGAAAGAGGATAGATTTAGACTGGACATAAGGAAGAAATTCTTTCACAATGAGGGTGGTGAGACTCTGGAATGGCTTGTCCAGAGAGGTGGCAGAAGCCCCATCACTGGAAGTGTTCAAGGTCAGGCTGAATGGGGCTTAACCTGATCTAGTTGAAGATGTCCCTTCTCACTGCAGGGTGGTTGGACTAGATGACTCCAACCCAAACCATTCTATGATTCTATGATCTAGTGAAAGATGGCCCTGCCCGAAGCAGGGAGGCTAGAGTTAGATGATCTTTAAAGGTCCCTTCAAATCCAAACCATTCTATCATTCACTGATTACTTTAGTTATAACTAGGTCCCTTTCAGGCTCTTTTCAAGGTCAACTTCTAAAGTATGACCTCAGGGAAATAAACTGAAATATAACCCTTCTCTATGGGAGTACTAAAACCAAATGCTGCATAATTTGTCTTTAAAAGCAAGAATTGTTTAAGAGTTTTCTGTCCTAGAATTAAGTCCTAACAGTTGAATCAACTTCAAGACAAAAATGCTGAAGGATAAAGTATATGTGTAAATATTTAATCAGACAGAATTACTCACAAAATCTGAAGACATGCTAGAAAGTAGGGGCTATAAAAGTCAGGCACATTTTGCCAGATCCTGCTACAAAACATGACAGGGAATTAAATATCCACACTTTGTCTGTTTCACTCAACGGGAATCTGATTTGAAACAGTTCTTGGTTGTGCTCTCCCATTTACAAGTCTCACATTAACCCTTCTTTACCTAACTTTGTATGTCAAAGGAATGAACTCCTGTTCATGCTGAAGAAGATATGACACTTGAGAGACAGAAAGCAAAAGAGTTACAAAGCAAATGAAGTTGCTGCAGAGCAGAAAAAAACCTGAGGACACTGGAGAACGTGTGGTAGCAGGACACCGCGATTTCCAAACTGACTGCAAATACTAGACTCATTCCCAAATTTACAATGACTTGCAGAATTCTCAAAGATACCACATTCTGTTGTGGAACATGTTTTCTGTAACAGCTTTATATCAAAGTTTTGAAACAACTTTGGCATTAAACTTGAGGACAATAATTGAATTAGTGTACATTTTCACTTGTGAATCTTGAAATAAAATTACAGCAGTACAACCCTAAATTTCATACAAAAATATAGTCCTTCTATATGGTTTTTAAAAATTTAGACACCTAGCCAAAATATACAGTTCCAAGAGCCAGTATTGCATGCCTCTCTTGCAGAAGTAATCAGTGCTACTGCAATCAAAGCTACTATTCAAAGACAAAAGGCTCACTACTGCCTAATTAAGTCATGTAGTGTGGAGTCCAGTGATAGTTTGAAAGCTACTGAAAAGAAGGAAGAAAGATGTACATGAGATGACAAAGGAAAAGCCCTTAAGTGAAACATTTTACGTATCAAGAGCCTACAAAATGACCCCATATTTCGTAAAGATGCAGACAATAGATTTGTTATCCTTTCCTAAAAAAACACCACAGGCGGGCACACATACAGACTTACAGATGTCAGGGCAAGTCCAAAACTTGTAGATTGATGCTTCATCTGAATTTCAATTTTGTGAAGTAGAGCTTCAATCCTATCTTCCTCAAATCCTTTCCTTTGGGAAGGGGTGATGAGAGAAGGAAATCATATCCATTAATACTAATCACTTTAAGTGAAGTTATGAAAGTGAATTATAACATTGATAAAGGAAGCATTACAACATAATGTCTTCCACACTGAATTAAAATTGATATTAAATAATCTTATCATGCTGTGTCATTTAGTGAAACTGCACTAATATCATTAAACTCCTGAAGGTTATGCTGATGAATATGCTACAATACAGGAAGTAGTAGATACAAGTTTTAAGAATATTAAACAGTATTACTGCTTCTTTAGTGCATATATTTTAATATAACTAATTTTTTAAGGCATGATATATATATATGACTGTATTACCATGTGCCTACATACTATTATATTATTAATATCTAATTGTAAAAGACTGTAGGAAAGAACTAACAGTATTCTCAAAAATTTAGCACTACTCACTCAATAATTTCATCAACTGTTCCAGCAATTATCTGTTTCACAGTATCAATGTCTCTTTCAGCAATACCCTGTAGACCCACACTGAAATAAGCTTCTCTTGTTGAGCCATTAAACCTAGAATAAAACATATTCAACTCAGTGATAAGTACAAGAACTTAAGCATTAAACCTGCCAGCTAAGACAGAAGGGGAAAAACACCCGTCATTTCCACATACACACACACAGGATTTTAAAAGCTAGATAGAAAGAAAAATAATTACCAAAGAGGCAAGAAATGGAACTTAAAAGCATTTTTTTGTTCAATTTCAGTAGTAGTAGCCACTGTTAAGAAAACATATAGCATATGATATTAGAGAAAGAAAAACAGTTCCAGAAGGAACGCTGGTCTTTTCTGTTCATCTTCCCATTCATCTGTAAGTACTTTCAAGTAAAGAAGTTTAAGGTGAAAATTTTAGCTGCCTGCAACACCAAACACATACATTCTACTTAAGCAGGTGAGTGAAATAGTGCTCTTAAATTTGTACATTTAAAGCGGTATTTGTAAAGTAAGTGGTGAAGGTGAAGTGTTCCATGTTTGTTGCAATTATTTTCAATAGTACTTAAAAAAAATAGTAAAGATAACTCTTCCTGACAGCTTGGATAAAATTAACTGTAATAGGTCACCTTTAGAGAGGCAATTTGACAGTTGCAGATATATGGAACACCTAGCAGTTCAAACCAAACACAACAAACAGAAAGCAATAGGTGCTCATCTACTCTAAATATCCACTATTCCATGTTTAAAAACCACAGAAGGACTTGAATGCCAGACCCAGGTGTTGAACTCTGGAAAACTGATTTTTGGACTCAAATTTATTCTTCTAGATTGATTCATCAGCACAGTCATTAAGGCAATTTAAAGCCAACTCACTGTATGGTTCTACACCATATTAATATAGTCAACCTGGAAAAGCCTCAGCAGACAAAAAACACAACAATTGAATCCCTACTTCAGTGTCTAAACACGGTTTTCTACTGCCGTGCCCTGTGATATTAAGATGTCTGCATGGCACTGGCATGCATGACACAGGACTTGCAGGAAGCCCATGACTTCACATAGAGAGTTCAAAGCAGGAAGAGTTTTTAACCATGTTTTTATCTACCTATTTTTCTTGCTGATAAGCTTTAAACAGTAAAATTTTGTTTAAACTAACAGAGCTTCTACCAAATTATTTTGACAAGCCAAAAATTACACTTGAGAATGTTTTATAGTTCATCAGTAGAAACTCTTAAAATATTTTAATGTTACAACAAGATTATTTTTTATAAAAATTGCCTGTATGAGAAATTACTTCTCCCAACTTAATAGTGGTTTGTAACTTTTCTAACATTGCTTATAGGGATGAAATGTAACTTGCAACACTTACCCGACATCAGGAGAAAAATCTGTACCAACACCAGACTCAATTAAGGCTTTGTAAAAAGGAGAATTCGGCCCATCAACCAACAGTGAAGACAACAGGCTTAGTGTGAATGTTTCAAAAGTGTCTGTAATACTGAAAAAAAATTAATGTTCTTAAAAAAAAAAAATAAAAATCAAGCTACAAATAAGTGATACCAAACATCACTGAGTTTACTTCAGAAGAATTATTCCTACAAAACAATGCAGAGGAGGCAAGGGAGAAGTAATTGCCAGTTATGAACACTGCACCAAACCTTAGTGAACTAAGAGAGTTCTGGGTCTTTCACTTATAATTAGTAGTAAAGCAAGTTGAATTAGGCTGCCAGGGTAGATAAAGTTGGTAGTAGGGTCATACACAAAAGCTTGCACATAGCAGGAAACTGAAAGACAGGAAGCCAGCGTTCCCAAAAGTCTAATCCACTGAACAGTTCTGTAAGATAACGGCTGATTTTCCTTATGTCTATCTGCTAAAGAAAAAGACAAGAAAAATTCTGCTTAGTACTTAAACTTTCATTTACTAAAGGAGGGTTTGTCTAGCTTTCCCAGGGCATTATTAAACTCAGAGACGACATTTATGAAACGGGATTGCATACATGAAGTACACCTATGTCTTGCTTAAAGTTCTAAAATGAGTCTTTGATTCAGAATTTTATCTTGATACACTTACTCTGTCAACAAGTAGCTGACGCTGACAGTTGTCTGCTTGGAGGGATCGGTAGCAAATGTGTCTAAGCCACACGTTACACTGTGTTCTCTCTGTAAAGTATAATAAATACATTTGATGCAGACTAAACTCAGAGCAGAAGTTACAAATAAAAAAAGGACTGCTTGCATTTTCCTAGCATCTTCCTTCCAAAGATTTAAAATATTTTTACAGATACTCATTAATAAGTTCAATATTTGTAAGTAAATACACAAACACAGGATACCGTGAAAAATGAGATTCATATCTCAGTTTTTACAAGTAGAGAAACAGAGGAGCTGATCAAGAAAATCCGGCCATAATTAACTCTCTGAGCTGGGTTTCAAATAAATGCTTAAGCTTCTTGAAAAGCCAGGCAGGGAAGGGTGGGAGGGAGGGGGGGGAGAGAGAGTGGTGGAGAATGGAGAAAGTTATTTTTTGACATTTGGAAGTTTAGGTACCATTAAAGGGCATATTTCCTGACACTTAAGTGTCAGTATTTGTACAAGTAGCTTTAAAAGCTTTCCATTAATAGATGCTTTAGTGCTCCAAATGCTGAGGGCCTTGAAAAATGAAAATAAGAAAAATAAACAACTGCATATGATAATTACATTATTGAAACTCTAAAGTAAATGTAGTTCTTCCCTCATTTTAATGAAAAATAAAAATATATCAGCTCATTTACACACAAACACACTTCTAAAGAAAGAAAACAACTCCAGCAGGCTGGGCTAAAATGTTAACCTGTTATATTCAGATTCTGAATTTTTACTTACAGGTATTTCCCAGAGTTTCTGTTTTGGGATGTCAGTATTTGATTCAATTCTTTCAAATTTTATCAATGCTTCCTCATGTATTTGTTTCAAATGTTGTTCCAGTGGAAAATTACCATAAGTGAAAAATCTGCATTTGAAATGAAAGACTGGGATTAAGCATCACATTTTACATGAAATTTTACAGTAACAGCTCTTATTATATTCTGAATTTCATGAGATTTTCAGTAATTCAGTTACATCTAGAAGGGAATATGCTTTGTAAGGTCCCTAGGTTAAAGGACTACAAGTTTGCCATATATATATATGTGTGTGTGTGTGTGTGTGTGTGCATATATATATATATATATATGTATGTGTATATGTGTGTGTAACTAAATGCGTATAAAAAAATCCCTAGGTCTGCTGGCAGACAGGTAATCTAAGCTGCTAGCCATACGTATGGAAACTCTGTATTGCTGGTTTTCCCCTCACCAAAATATGAACAGAGTGCTAACTCACTACATAACCTAGTAAGTTAGTCCCAAATTTCAGATACCTGGAATTGCTTGGATGGTAATGTGTGGCATGGAACTGTTTAAGCTGTTCCCATGTAAGATCAGGAATACATAGCGGATCTCCACCAGATACTACACCGTAAGTGTGATCAGGAAGGATTTTATTCTGCAGGTGCTGTGCAAATATCCTCTCATTATCTGTCTTAAGAAGAAAACATCACATTTCAGTAAAAGTTATCAAAACACATTTTAAAAATAAAAGGTGCTCAACAGTAAGACCTCAGAGCTCTAACTTACACAAGAGCTCCTCCTCACATACACATTTTGTTCCGTAGTCCTATGGACTTGGAATAAAACTAGCCATGTTATCAAGTCAATTTAAAAGAAATTCTACAGTAAAATCCATTAGCAAGGTGCTCTTTTATAAATAAATATTCAACAGACTAACTTTAAAAAATAACCACGTAACAGACTGTTGACTTTACTGAGGATTTATATTTCACAAAGGAGGAATGGAAATCTCTGGTGCAATAATGCCATTGATAATCTGCAGCTTAAGCCACTTGACCACGTGTAAGATCTTAAAACAAAAATTCACAAAACTTACAAATGCCCCTTTCATTTCATTAAAAACAACTCCTTTGAAGACTAGAGGTGTCTGAGGATCATCTGGGTTCTCATGTTCTAACCTCCAACCTTCTTGCCTGAAAAAATTAATAACAGGAATTGTTATGAGTTTGAGGGTTTTGGTTTGTTTTGCTTTTTGACGTTTCCATACATCTCAACCTGACCACATCTTACCAGAAATCTAGTTGACGCAAACAAGGAAAGAAAGCTGCATCCAAGTACACTGACAGGAGATTCTGAAAGTCCTTGGGGTTTTGCGTTGAAAATGGATAGAGAGTGTAATCACTAGCTGCATATAAGAAAAAAATAAACAACATAAAAATGATCAGAATTTTAGAAAGTCTGAGACATATTGTGCCCTCATTTATATTTAATCTCTCTATAAATAATTGGAAGAGAAGAAATGTATGTGACATATTTTTGCTGAGGAATACACATAAGTTTAATGTTGGTAATTACCATGAAAAATTTGCTTTTGCAATATATAAAAATAACTAAATGCATTGTTGTATACGACAAAGATCCAGCTCTATTGGGACTTTGTAACTGCCAAATGAACAAGATCTGTTTTGTTGCCTTGCCTTGTTAGTTTTTTAATCTCTCACTCACAACATTCACACTTAATAATAATAGGTCTCCAAAGGGAAATTAAGGAGAACCAACTGACAGCTCTATGCAATAAAACCTCATGTCTTTTAAGGGGTATTATTTACTTCGGGCTCACCTGTGAATGCATTCATGAAGGTGGACAGTGACCTGTTTAACATTTTAAAGAACGGATCTCTGCAAGGATACTTTTGAGAACCACATAACACAGTGTGCTCGAGGATATGCGGGACCCCGGTGCTGTCCATCGGAGTGGTTCGGAACTGTACACTGCAAGGCAGAGAGCACAAAGAGGAACATGGTTACCTGTGATGAAAGTCCACCCACCTCTTATCTACAGCTGACATTTATGAGAACATTATCACTGTCCAGTAACTAACACGGCACACAGCAGGACGCAGAGTTACCGAGTTTTTAAGACTCCCGAGATCTCAGTTGCCTTCTTCTAGAGGGTGTACAACCTCTGCACTTCTATTTCTGGAGGTGGGACAGAAGTTTTCAGCATGTAAGTAAACACATTTCTTTTTTAGCCAAAAGGCTCAGAAAAAATTTCATGAAAGGTTATGGTTCAAAGAACTGTTTCACATCTTGCAACTATAAGGCAATTTATCAGAAAGTCCAGTTTTTGGCTTGCCAACACAGAAGATACGACAACAAATTTGCAGTTTAGTGGAGAAGCACAAAGATGGTCAGGGCCTGGAGCACATGCCCTGCGAAAAGAGGCTGAGGAAATTGGGCTTATTTATCCTGGAGAAGGAAAGGAATCAAGGGGACTCAATAGCTGCCTTCCAATACCTACAAGGAGGTTATGATGAAAACAGGTTCTTTGCATAGATATGCATGACAGAAGGACAATAGACAATGTTCATAAATTGAAGCAAGGGAGGTTCCAAGTTGATATTAAAGAAAAAAGAACACCATGCAGACAGTCAAACATTGGGAACAGGTTGCCCAGAGAGGTCGCAGAATCTCCACCTTTGGAAATTTTCACCTGGACAAATGTCTGAGGAATGTCATTTGAATTAAGTGTTGACTTGTTCTGAGCAACAGACTGAACAACATATCTCATGACATCTGATCCCACCAGAAAACCTCTACACAAGTCCCACAAAGGAAGTACTATTGTTTTTGCTATCAGAAAATCCAGTTATGAAGCTGGATTACAATTCAGAAACCACAAGGTGACGTTGAGATGGTATATGCTGCACATATATAAATGTTTTACCTGAACAGATTATTGGAGTCCTCCCGAGCCACATGTAAATATCTGGCTCCTGTACTGTCATGACTAAGCTTCACTGCAGTCAGGAAAAGCTCAGGAACAGCTGTCACCTGAATTGGAAGAAAACACCTGTGTTACAGTGTGACTGCAACTAGGAGAAATAAGTCATGGAGGATATAGCAATGACCTGTTTGTTGATTCTGTAAATAATACTGCCATATACAGTATTAAATACATTATTTCTCCCTCTGGTTTGTAGGGGAAAAAAAAATGAAGTATGCGAATGAAAAATAAAGTTTAAAAAAAACAATTAAAATACACTAAAACCAAAGAACTATACTCTTCTGGTAGAGATATTAAGACCAGAACAATTCAATCAGAAATACAACGAAAATGCATATATTCAAATGTCAGCGGTCAGGGCAGCAAAAGAAAAATCAAGGAACCCAGTTCTACCACTAGCTCTATCCCTAGCAATCACTTTTTGCAAATTACCTTTACTCTCTGCTTCTGCTTTTTCCTTTAAAAAACTGAAAAGAAATTCAACATACTATTTCCATTGCAAGTTCTTAACAAAGTTATTAAAAGCAGCTTAAGAGAGAAAATATTACTCGAATGTCTTTCATAAAACAGCACAGAGTGAAGTCCAGTCAGTTATCTGTCAGTACTTTTAGAAGCCACTGAACATCTGTAGCAGACACACAAACTCCCGTGGTGCATTATTTACTGTGGAAAAGTCAGCTCCCTATAGGAACACGTGCTAATGTCACCTAATGAATTTGGTTGCAGAGGAATAACTACAACTAATGGATCATTTTTTTTAACTGACCACCCAAAGCATCTATACAAATATTTAGCGTGTCGACCCCTGGCCTCACTTAGGCGCTTTCCAGCCACGGCAACGTGTGTCCATACAAGCGCAGGGAAGCACAAGCCAAGGGCGATGCTCACCTGCTCTACAGTGAACCCGTGGATCTTCTCGCCCTCCCTGTACTGCAGCGCTCGCTCATTAGCGGAAACGCTCCTCCACCTCCATGACTTCAGACCCGAGGACCTGCAATAACAACCCTCTCCAGATCAAACGCTCCCACCAGCGGTGCCGCAGTCCCGGTCCCTCACCCCCGCGCGGCCGGAGGGAGGCAAGGAGCGGAC